ACAACTCACAATGTATTGTAATGGAAGTTTGTTTGACAAAAGAAGAGACGAGCAGCCGCCTGTGAAAATTTAACAATCAAGAAGACAAGAGAAGAAAAAAATGTGAGAAATTTAAACAAATATTTGAAGTGGGTATGAAAATAATATAGTGTTAAAATAAGAGCAAGGGTTGTTAATTAATTTATTTTGATATCAGCGGAAAGACGTTGAAGTATATCTTAAAAGTTGTTTGTAAGGCATCGGAAAATTAATAACCTTTTATTAGAAATGCTCTTTAATATTGCTAGTTTTCAAATAAGAACAAAAAGACTATTCAGGATAGTATAACTAATATGCTTGGGATAGAGGAGTGTCTTTTGCTGACATCTAATTAAATGGTATTATAATCCCTAGTAATCCAAATGTGAGGTCTAAAACTGACCGAGCACTAATATTAGTTACTAAGGGTTGTATCCTTTCAAATAAATCTGTTGTTTTTATTTAATTTCATTTAAGTAAAATATTTAAACTATTTAGAAGGACATTTTAGTAATTTAACTTTGACTTTTAGGGTTCTCACTTTTATAATAATATAGATAAATATAGATAACACGGGCTTAATTAGATTCTTCTGAGTTCTTCAATTTAGTTTAGCCCTCGTCAGTTACTTACTCTATATAGTTTACACTAGTCTTCCTTATCTTTCCTCCAAATCATCCATACCTACAACTGTGCATAAATAATTTAGGAAAACTTGTCATTGCCAAATATTTGTAATGACTTCCCCATAAGACGGGGTACTATTCTTCACCTTGCACACAACTTGTCGATTACTGCCGTTTCGGCAAAAATTGGTTACATCTTACGAGCGCATATGTCTTTAACCATACTTTTTCATGTCTCACTCGTGATAGCTTTACTATATATGATTGATTGTCCTGGTGTTTCAAGTAACTCTAAGTCTGACTTCAGTACACATTGGATTATGTTCTTCAACTTATCTCGTTAGTACTAACTTTTGATTAGTTCCATGACAACTCTGATAGTATTTGGTGATGTCATCACCTTATCCTTTTCTTTTACAAGTCTTTGAAATATTTATGATATATAGTTTTAATATGTTATTATCGCTTGCTTTCTGGCCATCTTGGTCTTACCTTATTATCCTTTTCGGCCACATTTCTCTCCGTCTCTTTCCGACCTTCGCCTTCATTCTCCATTAAAGGCAATTGACACCTTACACCTCATATCTTTACTAGATGGTGATGTCATGTTAGCATCTCTTTTTAAATCCTCTGGTTGCACCGGGTATGTCAATTCTTCCATTGATAGATAGAAATAGGAGTTTGATTCTCACTTTAAGTTTTAGCGCACAATCTAGGATGAGAAAAAACTTTTCTTAATTGTCTGTAGTCCCTAGTTTATGAATATGGGGTTCATAGAACCTTAGGACTCTCTAAACTTGATGCTATGCTACCAAATTTGTCACGATCCGAGTTCTGACCTAGTTATAACCAGCATTTGGTGCCTTAACGTGACTGATGTTTGACTATAATTATATATTTTTAGTGCATTACTTACCTTACATTTTGGGGCTCTAATGCTAAATTGTACTATATTTGTGCTTAATTGAGTTTATTTTATGTGTAGGTACGTTGAAACGAAATTGGGACCAAAGTAGAGATTTTATGTGTATCTTATATACTACAAGAATGATTCGTGATTATTTGATGACGGAAAATATTATGATATATAATTGTACAATGTTTGAAGACCAACCAAAAGAAGACAAAAGAACAAATTGAAAAAAGAAGGGAATTATTGATGAAGAAAGAATAAATGAGAAAGAAGAAAGACAAAAGAAACGAGAATGAGAACTAGAATGAAAGTTAGGCAGCAATTCAAAAATGTAAGGAAAGCAACCTTCCAGGCGACGCGAGCCTTGTTGCTCGCTATATAGCAGGCGGGGCAAGCTTTCTTGCTCACGTGTGAGTGTGCGCCGCGAGGCCTACCATGAGGAGGAGCTCGCTACAGAGCTTGCGAGGCACAATGTAAAGCGAGGTGGAGCACGCTATAGAGGTCGCGAGGCGAGACCTGTAGCGAGGGTGTTCCTGATTTTTAAAGCCTATTTTGTCTCCTATTTGGTTTTGGACTTAGTTATTTCGTCTAGGTCTTTTCCCTACACATATAAATAGTCATTAAACACCATATTTAAGGAGGGACCGACTTTGGAGAGACTTTAGACGAAGGGAGAGCACGGAGCCGCCGTGGAGGCCGGAATTCATCAGATTCCATCTTTTTTCCATCAAACTTAGTAATCTTTACTTTTTCTTGATGATTTATTGTTTTGCTACCATATCTATGTGGAGCTAAACTTCACGTTCTAGGGTTGTGGTTGTCATGAATATTGAAGTTTATTAATTATATTACCGTTAATTCGAGTTATCATCTTTGGTTGTTTCTCTAGTTCTGTGCATAATTGCTTAATTGTTTGGCCAACAGCTGAGTTCTATTTACTATATATGCTACGCTTGAGAAAGTCATGTTTAGATTAGAATAGAATTAGAGAGAGCTTGTTTCTGAACCCATAGCTCGGGGAAAGATTTCGCGGTTAGGATAGGAATATACCTAACAGTCTTGCTTAGTTGAATACCGTATTATATTCATTCATAATAGATTCAAGACCATAGGAATATAGGGTTGATATATTATGGATAGACGGATAGTTTTGTGGGAACATGCTATCTATATAAAAGATCCGGTCAACTAGCAATCATAGATAATTTGGATTAACAGGTGTAATTTCGAACTCAATAAGATTGATAAACCGACCACAACCCTGGAATCTATATCTCCCTTGGTTACATGTTTGAATTTCGCAATAGTAGTTATAATAGAAAAGTTAAACTTTTGATCATCTTGGACAGTAAGTTGATTTTAGTTTACTTAGTTAACGATTAATCTAAGTCTCTGGGGGTTCGACATCCGACTTTCGAGTCACTTTATTACTTGATGGCCACGTATACTTGCGTGTACTTGGGGAACCAACAAGAGCGAACCAACTTGATAATTCAAACTGTTCCGACATGCCATGTATATTGTTCCATAAAAGTATATTTAACTTCTCAGCTAAATTTTTTATTTCAAATAGTATAAAAATGATCAATCTGTTAAAGCAAAAAAATACTATGACAAGTGTAATATTAAGTAATAGGCATATCTAGGCATATCCATGAACCCAAGCTCACTAATATTAACCCAAGCTCACTCTAGGCATATCCATGAAGCCTCTATTAGAGTATTAGACGAATTGTGCAAGACATGTGGTTCCGGCTAATCCTCAAAACTAGTAATGAACAAATTAACAACTACTACTGGCTAAATAAAAAGTAAGAAAACTCCATGACTAAGAGGGGAGCTCACCAGTCAGGGGGGAGGGGGGAGGCTCAATGAGTCCTTAATAAAGTTAGAACGAGACTTTAAATTAAATATGAATGCAAATATCATGAGCTCTACAAAAAAATACTTTTTAAAAAACTTAACATACAAATCAATGACATAGTTAAACAATAATTACTGAGTCTTTGTTAATTAAGTACATTCTTTCATTATATCTTCTTTATTCTTTCTTTAGCTTTTAGGTAGTTCTAGTCGACCGTAAGTTGATCCCTTCTTGTGATCGATTTTAGCACTAGCATGGTTCGCTTCGGCCGTGTCATTAGCGTCAATAATGATCTTTCATCTCTCACCAACGTCATGATCTTCTCCTTTAAAACGAAGCATCTTGCTGTAGGGTGACTGACGATGCGGTGATATTTGTAATACTTGGGATCATCCATCTCTTTTAGATCTTTCGCCGCATCGCTGAGATTCAATGGTCATTTAGGGGCCTTAGCTGGTGATTCTTGCACCAGTTGTGGCAATTGGTAATTCTTCATATGGTTACTCATAGCCCTTTATATGTCCACCAATTTTTTGCGCCTTTCGTTATAACAAAAATAGAGACCTTTTATACGGCTGCTCGTAGCCATTTATACAGCCACTAAAGTTTTGTATCTCATATAGCAAAAGTAGCTACCCTTTATGCGGATGCTCGTAACCCTTTGAACGGTTACCATCTCATAACTATTCTTATTAACCGATGTAAATTTATATTTTTGAATTCATCTACCGATATAACTTTACTTTCTATTCTACGAAAGAAACTTCATTATCTCCACTTTGTTTTTTATATATGCACATTCATTACTCATAATTTTAAATTTTCTGATTTGGATTCATTTAAAATATTGATATCTTAAACTCCATTTTGTGATTTTGTTGCGGGTGTAACATAGAGGTTGAAATTTTGCCTAAAAGAGATGAGGATGCAACAAGTGAAGCAGTTGAGTGCAAGTGGTTAGTTTCTCCTGTGGTAATGAAAAAATTTCTCACATACAAAAATATAAATTTATGCTAAGTTGATGTGTATTCTTTAATCATTTTGTTCTATGATTTCTTAAAATTTATGTTTAAAATAGCTTCACGAAACCTTGTATTTTATGATTAAGATATTCTTGTAATAGCCAATTGCATTTTTTCTATATTTGTTTGCAATTAAGTTGAAATAGGAGTATTTGCTTTGCGCGGTTCTTTTGTATTGGATTCTTTGCTATTATATTTACGGATTATCTAAAATAAAGGAACCTTAATATCTAAGGTATCCACAAACTTATGGTGTAAGGTTTCTTCTTTTATGAAATTTGCTAAGCAAGATCAACACATTATTTTAGAATTTGTAATTAAATTTTATGTTATAACTAAAAATATATTTTTAATAATATTTATGTTATTTTTAAAGTCTAATACTCGTTAGGGTGCCCAAAAACTAGTTACGTTAAAACACCAAAAGTCACCAACGTTCACCATTTAATATAAAAACGGTTATTGCCTCCACATAAAACTGAACCAAAGAGACTATGAGAAGTTGGATGTGGACTCTGCTACACCTACAGGTAAGCCTATGGACTCATTATAGTGTTGCTTTGACTCTGTCATGTTCAGTTTCTTCTTTAATTTTTCATTTCCCCCCCTAAGAATTTGTATATTCTTGATTGTTTGCCGTCTTGCTATAACAATTTATAGGTTTACAAGGCTCATCATTCTTAGTTTCTCTAATGTTTACTATTTATGCATTGTGTGCTTATTTTGCATAAGACCAACATTTTCTTGGAGTTAATTCCTTGGATTGTTATCCAAGTTATGAAAATTATTCTGTAATTTTTGAGATAGCATGCCCATATTCGCCATAAAATTAATTGCAGGAATTCCACACAATTTATTTGACCCATCTTAGGATCCATATTTTTAATCATACGACCAGATCCACAAACCCAAATACTTAAAACCCACATGTGACCCGGATCCAGCAAAAAATGGGTATGGTCAGATCTCATCCTTCTTTGCTTTCTTGTAATAATGTTTTATGGTTTGTTGTTCCATTTTTCAGCTTATAACTTTTATGTTAGAAGGAACAATAATCTGAAGCAGGAATGACAAACTTTAATGTCTGGTCTGGCTTTCTCTTTTTCATCTTATATTATACCTGTTGAAACTTTGATCTTTGCTTTGGTCAACGACTGACTGAAGAAATATACCCATATAAAGAAGAATACTTGGTTAGCTTATATCTGTGTACTGAATCTAGGTTACTAGTGAATAAGCTCTCCTTCTCCTTTAATATATTTTTGCATTTTCTGGATAATGGGTCATCCTTCTATCCGTCTCCACTTAAATACTACGTACTAGGTTTTTGTCTACATGATGTGCTCCGCTCTTACCACTAGACCAAAGCCCTAGAAGGCTAAACTCCCCAGTTCTCTTAGAGCCTAATTTCTGCTTACCAATTGATTTGTTAAAAAATTTGCAAGAATACAACAGAATTGCATTGGTAAATTTTTGGATGTTTAACAAAGTCAATCAGAAAACATGGAACATCGTATTTTTTTGTTATTCTTTTCTTTGTCCTATTCAGAAAGCAACCACAAAATCAAGTTTGTCTGCGTTCTTGCTCTAACATAAGTTTACAAAGCTGTTTGTTCTGATTTTCTCTAGGCTGCTAATGCTTGTATTTATGCATTATTTGCTTGTTTTAAACAAATATGATCGACATTTACTTTCTTGATGCTATGTTGGGGAAGCATTAGTTGTCCAATGCTTACCTTGCAGCAGGTCTTCAATCTTTATTGTAATAAATTTGTTAATGTGAATTTTCTTTTAATATTTTCCCCTGGTGTGTTTTGTTTGACCTGTTTAGAAAGGAGAACAGATGTTATTCAGATGTTCCTCGCAATTGAATAGCTAAATGCACTTTTTCTGTTCTAGTTTATATTAATTACACTATATAACTTTTATATCATCTCAAGTAGAGTGAATTATTTCCATAAATCGGCAAGTGTGCAATCTTCAAGAACTTAAAATAAGTCGAGAATATTAGATTATGAACTTAATCTTGCATAACATCTTTCCCGCGGATGCTCTCTCTTTGGCATGCTCCGATCAGCTTTTGTTTCTAATATGTTTCAACTCATTGTGCTTGCTCTCCTGAATATCTTTTATCTATTAAAACTACGTGATTAGATAGAGGGGCAGTTATGCGTTAATGCCGAAAGCTCATCACTACTTGGGAAATGTATGGTGAACTATGAGTTTAATTGGAAAGAAAATAGAGTAACAGCTTTTCTCCTCAAGTACAAAAACTGAGGAACTCTGGCTGTGGTGAACTCTGGAAGAATAATGAAACCTTAGTAGGAGATAGTTAATGGGCTTGCTTTGCAAATACTACCAGTGTTCTCTCCATGTGAAGTTTATGGTCCTCCTGTCTTTCAATCTATGTTCTTTCCTGATACTCTCGTCTGTATCATTATTTTGTCTCTCCAATATATAGAAAATGGTAAAATCGTATGCAGTTGAAAACATTGAACTACTTGTCATTAGGGGTGGCAAACGGGCGGGTCGGGTCGGATATGAGCGTGTCGAATGCGGGTAATTCAAAAAACGGATAAATTATCCGACCCAACCCATATTTGAGACGGATAAAAAACGGGTTATCCGGCGGATAATGTGGATATCCATATTATCCATGACTTCTTGAATATGATTATTTATGGGAGAATTCCTAGCCTCCCTAACTTGAGGAACCCCCAATTTGAGGCTTTACAAATGTAAAAGTTAAACGCATTAGTTATCCATTGGTTATCCATTTGGTTAACCATTTTCTAAGTGGATAATATGATTCTTATCCATATTCGACCCGTTTTTAAAAAGTTAATTATCCAACCCATTTTTTAATGGATAATATAGGTGGATAATTGTTCTCTTTTAACCATTTTGCCACCTCTACTAGTCATATACAGGTTGTGGATACATTGCTGAAATGTGTATTCATAATAATTTGAATTTTCCTTCAAATAGCTATTGGTTGAATACTGAATACTATGGAAGTTGACAAGTGCATTTCCTTGGTACTATTTGTTAATTTCCCTGATTTTAATTTTCAGAATTGCCTGCAAACTCGTCAGTATTAGACCATGAAGAGTGCTAGGAGATCTGATGTTGATACAATTAGCAACCTGCCATGTAATGTTGTGGATGAAATTCTAGGGTGCTTGCCTTTGAAAGATGCAGTGAAGACCAGTATCTTGTCAAAAGACTGGAGGTACAAATGGGTAACACGTCAAGAACTTGATTTTGGTTATAACTTTTTCGGGTCATTTGCACATGATCAAGAAGCTAAGACAATCATTTACCAAGTCCTATTAATCTATAAAGGACCAATACTGAAGTTTAAACTCGGAGGCTTTAACTTGAAAAGTTGTCCTGATATTGATCACTGGATACTCTTCTTGTCAAAGAAAAATATCCAGGAATTCACCCTTCACATATGGTCAGGCAACATATATCATTTACCTTCTCACCTTTTTACATTCCAGCAGCTAAGGCGTCTGGAAATTCATAAATGCTTGTTTTACCCTCCGTCCGGTTTCAAAGGGTTTGAGAAGCTTATTAATCTTGATTTTGATAGAGTCACTTTTGTTCCATCAATATTTAGGAATCTGATCTCTAAATGCCCATTGCTTGAACGATTAAGGTTGCTTTGGTGCACTGACTTTGACACCCTTGAAATTGTTGCCCCTAATCTCAAATTCTTTGAGTTTAGAGGAAAATCAAAGTCCTTTTGCTTCAAGAATGCCCCTGTGCTTAGTAAGGTTATCCTGTCTCTCAATTCACCAGTTTTGGCTGATGCATCTCCTGTTTGTTCAAATTTTATGAAATTCTTCCATTGCATGCCTTCCCTACGGGAACTGGATATACGTGGTTGGTTATTGGAGGTACGTAATGGAAATGTGTAATAATATTTATTAGTCTCGTGAAACTTGGTACATATCATAACCAAATGATTTATCTGATTCGTATCTTTAACTAATTTTTGACTTGCTTCTAGTACTTGACCAAGGGAGGTCTGCCAGAGAATCCCCCGACTGCCCTGAACAATGTGAAAACTCTCAAAACAGACATGTCTTTCAGAAATGTTGAGGAGGTTTCGGTTGCTGTTTACTTGATTACAAGCTGCCCTAAATTACAACAGCTTACAATTAGATGTGTAAGCACTCACTCTCCTATTTTCTCTTGAAAGTGACTGAATATGGTATTTTCCACTGAACTCGCCTAACCATTCTTCCCGAAAATCCTTTAGCAGTCAGTGGACAACGATGTGGAACCTGTTGTACATTTCTTACGAGCCCAATCATTCTCTGGTGGTGGTGTTGTGAAGCTGCTTCAAAGAGTACATATGAGTACTTTTAGTGGTCTTGAGATGGAAATGGAATTTGTGAGGTTTATACTAGCATCTGCACCATTACTTAAGCAAATTTTCATTTGGAATTATTCATGTTTCCTTCTTCGGCCGGGAAGACAACTGATGAATGAGATAAAACAATACCGTCGAGCATCACCCGATGTTGAATTCAAATTTGAAGAAGTTGATGTAGATGATCTTGTATGATTGAAGTCATGACTTTGATTATTAGTTGTTGTTGATATCGTATGTATTTATCACTTTCATTAAATTATCGTAATTTGATAAATTTTTCCGGACCGGAGGATCATGGCAGAGATAATGACTCTAAGAGTCGGACAGAGATTTGCCTAAGATGCCTAAGTATGTGAATCAATGTATCCTAATTTATGTTTCAAATAAGAGTTGAAGTAATTAAAACTACTGATTAGACGAAAACAACTTATCGAACACCTGGAATGCGGAGATGAAACTAAGATTTAACTACTTTTACCGACTTCTCACTGGAGCTTTGCCGGAAAACCATGGTCATTAGCCACTTTGTAATAGAAAAAGAATTTCGGGCTAATTTTCTCTTAATTAAAATTATTAGAAACAACTAACGTCTTAAAAAAGATCATCAAATGAAACTGAGGAACCCTATATAAACTCTTCCTGTTAACTTGACAAGTGGGAAGCCAAAGTTCTTAGTCGTTTTCTTACAAGAGTATGCACTGGTAAAGCCACCATTATCTCAATACATGCATGCATATCTCTGTGGGCGTGCGCACACACTATCTTGGGCGTTATAAGCAAATAATATATGAATTTGGTCTCTTCTTGGCTGTTATATGTTTAGGTTGATCATTAACTTCCTTGCACAAAATCTGTTGGCTTCTTTGATTTGAGCCTTGCACCACTATAAATTGGGAATTGCTTAAAATAGTTATATGAAAACTGTACCTCTAGTTTAGCAATAGTAGTACTCTTAGGGCTACATAGAAATGGATAGAATAGAATCTATCCACCCTGCATATACATTTTATACATACTTAAATTGAAATAAGTATAATTTAAAACACATAGGAGCATTATATAAGGTAAAAATACCGGATCCTAGATCCTAGGTTATAAAAGTAACTTGATACACTGTAAAAATACGTAAGATAGGCATCAAATACATTTTAGTACACAATAAAAATACATAAGATATTGATCGGTTGTGCATCAATATTCTGAAACAAAAGATTCTCAACTTCATGAGACTTTCAAATGCTTTATTTTAAAAAGGAATAATAAAGAAACCTTCACTTGCACCGGATGGAGTGAAGGAAAATTATCTTGGATTTGGGTATCTTTTTGCTTCTTTTTCTTCTTTTGTTTCTTATCAATTCCAGAGGCTGCAATCTTGGAATCTGCTGTCTTAATGAGTTTTACCTTGTTCTTCGCTATGAGATTGGTAGTTTATTTAAAGAAGGGAAGCGAATGGAGTTTTGGATGAGATTTTGCCTTATCTGACGAGAAAAAGAACGAAAAGGAAGGAATTTTTGGGTTCCTGATGGTGGAAAGATTAGTGGATAAATCCCTACAATTTTGAGATTTTGGTTGAATATGGGAGACTCTAACACATAAGCCCTTAAATCATGGCTCAGTTTTAAGAAATAAAGAATCTGATGGTGACGTACTATTTTTAAAATATGTTATATATGTAAATGAATTAGCTCTTTTAGAAATAAATCAAAAGTACTATTGTTTATATAATATTTGCTTACTAATTGCTTTATATAGTAAAAATATTTTCATATGATATGCAACAAATAGTAAAGCATATCGTTTTCTAGATCATAAATCAGAAATCCCAGCATTCATATTAATACGTTAATCGAATCAGATAATTCTGAATTCTCTGAGAATATTTATCCGTATAAAAAGTAATTTGAGTCGTCAAGTGAAAAATATAAGCGACAACGGGAAGAAGTAAAGGAAAGTACGTTTAATGAAGAAAATCCAAGACGTAATAAACATCAAAGTACATCTACTTCCTTTTGGACCAGATTTTCTAACATTCTTATTGGAAAATGAGCCTCAAACGTTTAAAGAATAATTCCTTGCTCGGAAGCACAATATTAGAAAAAGACAGTCAATAGTGAGATAGAATCCATACTAAGTAATCACACTTGGGAATTGGTTGATCTTCCTCCATGAAATAAACCTTTGGGTTCTAAGTGGATTTTCAAAAGGCAACTCAAAGTTGATGGTACTATTGAAAAATATAAGGCAAAGATTTATTGTTAAATAGTATAGACAACGAGAAGGTCTTGACTAATTTGACACATACTCACTGGTTTAAAGAATTACCTATATTTTGATGTTAGTAGCATTGGCTACAGTATATAGTCTTGAATTCATCAATTGGATGTGAAGACAACCTTCTTAAATGGGTATTTGGAGGAAGAAATCTATATGGAACAACCCGAAGAGTTTGTGGTTCTTGGAAAAAGGAAATAAGGGATGCAGACTTGTTGTGTCTCTTTATGGATTAAAACAAGCACACAAACGATCTTATCCAAAATTTGACCAAACAATGTTGTCAAATGATTTCAAAATTAATGAGTGTAAACAAATGTGTTTACGTTAAGAATACTCCTAGTCATATCGTCATTATTTATTTATACGTGTACGATATGTTGATAATCAGTAATTATCACGACCCCAATTTTCCTTTGTAGGATGTCGTGATTGCACCTAGTCTCTACAAATAGATAAGCCTAACATTTAATAACAACTTGACAGATGTAATTAACAAAACACTAAAACAAGTATGATAAACTCATACAAACTTCCGAAAACAGAATCTCAACAATACACTCCCCAAGACCGTTGGAATCGAGTCATAAGTTCTATAAAATAAAACTAGAATATCTAATACATCACTGACTGAAAGAAAATACAATAGAAAGTAAAAATAGGGAAGGTGACTCCGAGACCTGCGGACGTAGAGCAGGTAGACCTTGAAGTCTCCAAAGATAGCTACTCAATCAACTCTAGCGTCCGGCACGGGCCGACGTACCTGGATCTGCACAAAAAGATATACAGACTGTAGTTTGAGTATACCACAATGATACCCAGTAAGTATCAAGCCTAATATCGGTAGAGTAGAGACGAGGCTAGATCAAGACACCTACTAGGATATCAATAAACAGTATAAAAATGTAATAAGGATAAATAATGGAAAGCAGAGAAATAATTGATACGAAACAGTTAACAGCATGAACTAATACCGAAATTAGAAGCATAGAAATAACATAAAGAAATCAATTAAAGAGAACCACAATGATCATATACGGACAATAACTGACAAAATCAAGGAAGAACGAAACAATAAGAATCACAACGAGGTACCGCCTCGTGTACAATAAGAATCACCACTGATGTACCGCCTCGTGTACAATAAGAATCACCAGTGAGGTACCGCTTTGTGTATATATATCAAGAATCACAACCGAGGTACAGCTTCGTATTCACAATTCACAAACACAATCACAATCTTTCCTTATACCGTCGCGTGAGCCTTACATTTGAAATATATTTTGAAAACAGTTTTCCTGAAGTAGCTACATGCACTTTAGCCCACTTATAATGTTACATGGCTTCACGTAGTTCTCCTACAAGTAACACGCACATAAGTTCCACCTTATACCGCAACAGGAACATTAACCCCAAGCCTTATACTGCCGCATGCGCGTCAATATCATATCACAATAACAACTCGCACCACATATGCCCATATATCACAACTTTCCAACAATAAAAAATAATAATATTTCCACAACAATAGCTCATGGCTCCACCACAACATGTACAAGAATATGAACAATAACAGTGAATGTAAAATTCTCAACAAGGAAGATGTCTCAACAATAATAATTTTGTCTCAACCTGATAACGACTTTCACAACTTCAATACCAATAACTCAACAATGAGAGAGATAATGTATAACCACGATATTAAATGAGAATACTCACAATGGAAGAGATAACGTGCAACAATGACTGCAAATAATAAAAATCAATAATGAAAGAGATAACATGAACAATAACTTCAAGTAATGTTAATCAATAATAAAAGAGATAACATGAAACAATAATAGAGGCAATAAGTTCAATTAAAGCATGAGAGAAATTTATCAATTATGATGTAGAACAAGCGTTAACGAAATCATTTATAGCATATAAGAATAGACTAGCGCAAGTAAGAATAGATTGACTATGAGAATTTAGAACATGATACGATAATTCAATTAAAGCATGGAAAGAGTCTAAGTAGCCTAAACCGGTCAAATACCATGTATAACCCGTGGACCCACTCATCACCTTGCGTACACGGCTTTCACATAGCACCAAATGAATCAATCAATATCAATCCTAAGAGGTGTTTCCTTCACATAAAGTTAGGCAAGATACTTACCTCAACTAGGCCAATTCAACTCTCGAAAATAGCTTTTCCCCTAAAATTTGCCTCCACATGGCTCAAATCTAACCAAAATTGACTTAATATCAACAAACAATGCAAGAAAAATCAATTTCAATAGACAAAGCTATGATATTTACACTTTTCCTAAAAAGTCAACGAAAGTCAACTCGGAGCTCGTTCGGTCACAACCCGAGTCCAATTGCAGATTCTGACTACTCATGACCCCGCGAGTTAATATATGTGATTAGTTTCAAAATCCGAGTCCAAATCGACTCTTAAAACCCAAATTCTTATTTTTCAAAAACTTGACAAGGTTTCACAATTTTTCACTTTGATTCACATGATTTTGATGTTAAAATCTAAGATATGTTGATGGAATATGATTAGAAATAGTTTAGAGTCACTTACCCAAGGTGTATAGATGAAAATCTCCTCTCTAAATCGCCTTCTACCGAGTTTAGGGTTCAAAAATGAGAGAATGAAAGATGAAATCCCGACTTTCAGCCCTTATGTTCAGTTGAAGTTATCGCAATTGCAAAAACCCTCGCAATTGCAGCGCTGACAGGCCTGGGAAGCTCTTCGAAATTGCGAACCCTGCTGCCCTCGCAAAAGCGACATATTTATCGCAAATGCGCACTACCCAAAATCCCAGACCACTTCGCAATTGCGAGCCTGACATCGCAATTTCGACAACTGAGCCCCCCTACTAAGCTCGTAATTGCGAACCCGGTGTTCGCAAATGCGATACCTGAAGTATCAGCACACTAGATTCTACAATTTTAGTCCAAAACACTCTGAAGCATGTATGAAACTCATCTGAGCCCTCTCGGCTCCAA